CTTCTGCTCCCCAGGTCAAGAACTTTGGGCGCTCGGGGCGGACAAAGTACACACACTTGGTGGACCAGGACACTACCTCCTTCGACTCTGCCTGGGGCCAGGAGAGTGCGCAGAACACCAAGTTCTTTAAGCAGAAAGCAGCAGGTGTACGGGACGTCTTTGAGAGACCCTCAGCCAAGAAGCGAAAAACCACTTAATGGAGCAGGCAGGAGGGCATGGCGTGGCTGACAGCCAGGCCGGAGGACACTTCTCTGCCAGGAGCCTGGGCAGGACAGAAGGGACACAGCGCTGTGCCAGGATTCGTGTGGTGCCCCGCTCCCAGTGCTGTAGAGACCTAGCGGGCTCCTTGCCCAGGTGCCGGGGAGGATGACGGCCTGTCCATGCTGGCCAGGCCTGTGGCCACACTGCTGTCCCACCAGCAGCCACCCCGAGAGCTTCAGAAGTGCCAGACAGGGCTGTGCGGGAGCATGGCAACACCCCTGGCTCCAGCACACCTGCTTTTGGAGGAATTAATGGACTTTTCTACCCATCTAGTCCACACCATCTATTGCTTGTACTTTCCCTGTTGTCCTTTTGGGCCCTTTTTTGGTGTGGAACAGTGGTGACCGCATCTCCTCACCCTGTTTCTGCAGGGCTTGGCTTTTCTACTGGGGGGGGTGGAGTTGGGGGGGTGGGTTTGATTAAAGCAGTCGTTTTCTCACACATTCTGGTTGTGTTATCAGTGGAATGTAGCTGTCCTGTTCTGTACCTTCCTGCGAGCCAGGATGGGCTGGTGGAGCCCGGGAGGCACTGACCCGGGTAGGGCAGCCATCATGGCGCCTGGCTCACCACCGCTCCTTCACACCTGGGGCTGCAGGTCCCCCCTGCGTGAGCTGTGCTCCCCAAGGATGGGTGACACAGGGTTCCTGCTGTGGCTCCTGGGACGCAGCACCATCCCATGGGTGACATTAACGGAACTCCTCATGTTTCCATGGCTTACGTGCTCACGCTGGTCAGGGGAGGGGGGGGATGCAGGCAGCCGGGGGGAGGCGGGCAGCAGCAGGTTCAGGCTGGTCTCTGATGATCACCCTGCCCACCTGGCCTGGTGCTGCCTTGTCCAGGTCCTCGCCACACTCACTGAGGTGGGAAGGGTGAGTGCTGTGCTCCCCTGCCAGACCTTGAGGGCACCCGTCAGCAGGGACAACAGAGTGACAGGAGCCACCGCCCCTGGGAGAGCTGATGTGGTACAGAACCAGGGTTCATCCAGCAGCTGCTTGTGCTGCCCTGCGGCGCGGCCAGGTCAAAAGCAGGAAGAGC